GGTGACTCCACTCGAGGGTAAGACATGGGAAGGGTGAATTTAATGAGGCTGTTACGCCTAAATGATTTGAAAGACAAATGGGCCCACGGGCCGGATATTTTACTCATATGTATATATGTATACAATTTGTTTTTAAAAGGGGTAGCTAAGAGTTATGCCCATAATTATACTATCACCCTATTTTGAGGGTCTCACGTGAGAAACGTTAATTACATTACATACAGTTTGCCCTCACCAGTACTTTTCTGTAGTACTGATCCCTCGGAGGAACCACCCTTTCAGGTTGAAGCTAGAGCTTACTTCCGGCACCCGTTGCTCGGGAGATCGATGAAGGGAAGATGTGGTTCGTGCTTCCTCTCGTTCTATTTTTAAATAATTAGATAATGCTCATGGAACTATTTTGACTTATAAATTAATGGAGCCTACGAGCTCTTGTTTTACCCTTGTGTGGGTTCTTATTAATCACTTATATTCCGCTATGTGTTTGATTGTATGTTGATGTTGTTATGTATGTTTACTAATCGGTTTTGGCATATGTATCTATCGGACGTCTTGTGCAATTCGGTAAGGATGAACTACGGTTATTCTTATTGGGTTGTACGACGGTTGTCCACGTGGCACAGACGCGGTCTGGGGCGTGACATAAGGAGGAGAGGACGAGGGATGCTGATGAGGCGAAGTGGCAACAGCCAGAGGAAGGGGTCATAAAAATAAATGTTGAGGGTGTTGTTAATCAAGCGGGAGGCATTAGATCGAGCTTGGGGCTGGGTGGCTAGAGATAAGGGTGGTTCCTTTGTGAAAGCCCGCGGTTCCAAACGTAGAGCGGGGTGGTCGGCCGAGGAAACGGAAGCCATGAGGATCCGTGATGCTATTATGAGAGCAAGTGAGGAGGGCTGACAGCAGGTGGAGATAGAGACAGATGCACTCACGGTGGTGCAGAGCTTAAATAGGAACGAAGGATCTGCATATGCACTCCTCATTATTAATGATATCCGTCATTTATTAGAAACAAAGAGTAATTTTAAAATCTCTTTCTATAGGAGGTTTGCGAATTATGTGGCTCATGCTCTCTAGCTAAGGCACATGTGTATATCTCAGATCAGTCGATTGATTATAATGTTGTTCCGGATTGTATTACTAGCCATATGGCTAACGATTTATTGATTTAATAAAATGTTTTAGTTTGACGATAAAAAAACTACGCTGGTTATATTATTTGAAGATCACTTTAAGCTTTCATTCATCACAAATAGGATTATAGGAATAGTAATAGTTTTAAAATTGTCAAAATAGGAGTATTTTTGTGATTGGACAAAAATGAAAAATGTCTCTGCCACCACATGCCACTGCCACCCTTGCCACCTGCCGGCTGACGGAGCTTCGCCAGTCGCCGGCCAGATTTCGGCCGCCTTGCGATGGCCGACCAGCGCTGCGGGAGCTCTGGCTGGGCAAAAAAATCAAGATTTTTTTCCCCAATCCGTCTACCGCCCCGGTCATCGCCACCTCCACCGGACTGTCCCGATTGCCCAATGGAACTAGGGATAATTTAATTAATTATTAGGGGTATTAAGGGTAGAAAATTATTGTTTAGTCCTTCTAGCTAATAAAATGCAAGCAAATGGAGCACAGAGCCCATTTCCATTGGGGTCCAAGGGGTATGGACTACTTTTGTAACCCCTAAAGCATATTTTCACCTCTCCACGCCTATAAATAGGGGTCTCGGTTGAGAGAAAGGGAGAGAACTTTCAGTCGAAGAAACGCTGTAGAAAAAACTCTGAAGAACTCCCGAGAGGCTCTGAACGATTCCGAAGAAGAGGAAGAGATCAAGCCACAAATTTTATTAAGAATATACGATTAATCCTTTGTGATATAGTTCATTCTTCATAAAATAAATCAAAAAGTTGAAGAATGTTCGAAGATCTGAAGAACGAAGCTCGAAGATTCGAAGATCTGAAAAATAATGCTTTGAAGATTCGAAGACTTGAAGAACGAAACTTTGAAGATTTGAAGATATTCAGATGAAGTTTGAATCAAGATTCACTTAAAGATCAAGCCATATATCTCGGGAGGCCCTTAATCAAAAGATCAAGTCATAAAACGACCCTATCGTTGAAGATCAAGCCACTTAAAAACCGGAGGCCCTTCAACCTGAATTCTTTATTCAAGAAGATTTGAAGATCCGATGAACGAAAATTCGAAGATTCGAAGATCTCAAGAACAAAGACTCGAAGATCTGAAGAACATTCAAAAGTTTGAAGGATTATATATTTAATTAAATCCTTTAATTATATTACTTCAAATTGCAAGTGAAGAATCAGAGGATTCATATTTAGAGATTGTAGCCTATATTTTCAAATATTATTATTTGCGATCAATTTAAGTAAATACTTAAAATTTGTTTCACAGTACTATTTGTAAAAGATTTGGGTTTTAAACCTATTTGTACAATTATGTTTCCATTTAGTCCTATTTAGAGTAATTACTAAAAAAAAAAAGTGAACAGATATAATCCTATACACTTCGTATAATTCAATAACTCTTGAACCAGAATTCAGCTAAGCACAAAACGGATTCCCATACATCCAATGTCTCGATATTTTGATGGACACTTTTGGGTGAAGTTTAATAGATAAGTCTAATTTCAGCTTATTTTGGAAAACGTTTTGATTAGGTACAGAGTTAAGTATGATTTCTAAATTTTTTTATGCAATTTGGGTTCAAAAATTTTTTTATGCAATTTTGAGACTGTATAGTCGATAAACATGATCCATATAAATGTTAAAAAGATACATATCTCCCTTCGTCCAAGTAGACTTGGCTAACAATCTTTTATTGTCTAAAAAAGACCGCCACTCTCCCCTTAAATCAAATAATTTGTGATTTTGCTAAAAAAAAATTCTGTCCTCTACACAAAGCTTAACTTTTGTTTTTCTTATTCCATAGTACATATTTATTTCCAATATGGCAATGTCTAATTTAAGCCCTTGAGGTTTAACTGTAAACCAACTTTTATCTCACTTCACTTACCTAGTTCTTTATGTGTATTAAAGTACATTTGATTCTGTGTTATTTTTTTTGCTGCATTTTCCCCTTCATGTTAATTATTCGCCCTTCATATACTTCTAGCCTTCCAGGATACACAAACCCAAGCTTGTATTGTCCATATATAGTGGTTGTATTTTGCCATTATTGAGTCTTCTTAGACTCAAAAAAATAGGAACATGCAAGTATGCAACACAATGCTGCATTTTCACTCTATGGGCATGGGGACAATGAAGAAGTTTGACAATTTTCTCATGTTTGGCCATTCTTTGATTTGCTGTGGCATCTTCTCAGAATCTGTTATTCCTTTTGAGAACTTGTGACAGTGACATTGTTTTAATCAAGACTGGAGTGTTCATAAACTTCAAGATGGAGAATTTATTATTAAAGTATGAGGTCATATTTCCCCAACCAATATTCATTTGAGTTGTCTCTAGATATAGTATTCTATCACATCAAATTTCTTTGGATTTTGCTTTCTCATGTTTTTTTACATTAGTAAGGTTGTAACTTGTAAGGGTAACTAACCAGAGAAGTTGCAGCGGAGAAACTGATTAAATGAATATCCTATTTTCAATAAGTTTGCCAAAACAGAATAACAAACAAGTTTAGTGTGATAAATTTAGGTAAACTAAAATAAACTAAAATGCAAGTACCAGTTATGACTTATAACAGTTGTACTTTGCCATGTACCTTGGACAAAAATGATTCTTTCTATGGGGTCAAGACTGAGGGGGTAACATATTTCCAATTATATAAGTGGACGATTGTTGTGGTTAACATTGGGATTTGTTTTGTTTATTCATAGTAAAGCTAGTGTCTACTCTCCGAGTTCTTGTGATTAGTAAATGCCTATTTTATTATGTAGGTCTATCTGGCTGGGTGATGAGCATGTAAATAATCCTACCCTCCCAAAAGTGATACTCCATACTGTAGTTTTTAGCTGATGGTATAAAATCTTCTATTGCCTATTCTGGCCCTGGTTGCTTATTCTAACGCATTCCGGGAATGTTCGGTGATGGGTACAGGGTGAGTTAGAGGAAATTTTAAAGCTTTGCTTGCTTGATACTTCCTTTCTTTTCTTAAAAATGAAGTTTCTATTTGCACAGGGTCAATACCTACTAGATGTCTTAAAATGTCTATACGAATATGCAATTGCACAGGCCATACGAATATGCAATTGCACAGGCCAGTTCACAATTTTCTTCTATCTGAAGAAGGGACAGACTCTCCTGTTATGCATTTTACCTATTTTAGTACACTATCTCTTAAAGGATATTTCAGTTGTGAGTTACCCAAGCAGAGGTGCCGGTAAGAATACGGCCTTTCCACCCCTGCAACACCCAATGGCCATCTTCAGCATACAGAAAGTCTTTGTGACCTGCTTCTTTCCCCTTTTCTCTTAACTCTTTCACAATTTGAGGATTTATAGGCAGAGGCTTGAACCCAGCCCTCATAGTGCGTCTTTGCCATTGCTTGTATGCTTCAGGCCTCTCTAACCTTTCCATGCCCTCGCATGCTACAATATTATTTATTGTAGGCCCCACAAAAGATTGTTCAAAATTCAACCTTTGACTATCCTGGGCAGGAAAAACTGCTTCAAGAATATCAAAGAGAGCAGAGTAGAAAAAGAGCGCCTCTCGAAATCGATTGACAAAAAAAGGAGAGCTATGAGATGCATTCAACACGGAATGCACAAATATTTGAGGGTTTATGTCCCGGATTAAGTTTAAAACGATGTCCCTTGGGCAGTCCGCACCACATACTGTCTCGTCTAGTAGGCGTCTAAATCGATCAATACAGTTAACAGCAACTACTTCACCACTCGTGAGCTTCAAGTCACCAACCTTAATTGTCTCCCAATTAGTTTCTGATATGGCATTGTATTCGAATGGTACACCGAAACACTTGCAATATTTTGCCAAGCGACAACCAGTCTCGGCTAGCATTTGAGACGGGCGGAAACCAGGTTGGGGAAGCTCAATCCCTGTTATTCGAAGTTTTGGGGGGCCACCGGGTCTTTGTGAAAGATCTCGAATAAGAGTGGGCCACTGGATACCAAGAAGAATGCCAAAATCTATAATGTGGAGCGATGCACCTCTTGATGCCACTTCATAAATCATTTTATTCGCAAAGAAGATTACTATCCTCATAAATGGCATAGATGATGACAGGTAGGATTTTTGTAATTCGGAAATTGAGATCTTATTGCGAAATGACGACGAAGGATAGAGTTGTGGCCAGGTTCCAGTTAGCCGTGCCTCAAGACCCTCAGCAAATGCATGTGCCAGCCTTTGGTTTGCGCTACCAGTAGGCGAAGAGTACTGCCTGATCAACTTTAATTGTTCTTGTGCATCCTTGTAATGAGCATCAGCAATAGATTGTGCGCAAATGATCAAAAGAGACTGGAGATCTACAATTTCACAACCGTCTCCTCGTTTATTTGAACGGCTCTTGTGACCACTTCGCCCTTTCGGTTGTTGTTTCGCTGCTCCAGATGGAGAATCATCATTATCATCGGTGCACAGCAAAACCTTATCAAACACTTCTGATAAGTCATCCTCCTCCTTATGAGTTGCACTCTGCTTGCTGCTCCTTTCCTCTTCTTCTAGCCCACTTTCACCTGGACGGTAATGCTTCCTTCCTCTAGACGAATCAGCTGAATGGTCCTCCTCCTCTATACTCACAACACCACCTCTGGTCAATGAGAATAGGCCATCGAAATGGATTAGCCTAGGATTACTGGCAGGAAAGGATGTACTAACTTCCTCCACACCTATCTGGAATATCAAAATAGACACAGTTTGAACATCAAACAATATGTTTGGAACTAATCAGCGGATTCAGCTCTAGCATTGCTATTACTCTTATGATTTTTACTAGTTCTTTTACTAGTCTACATACAGTCTACAATGTTATAGACCCATAATTTTGTACAAAAAACCTTCCTTTTTGGACAAAACATTTGTTTATTTCGTATTCTGCATTTAGCAAAATAAACATATTGGACCCACCATCTAATAATGGAACAACGAATTAATGTTGTCCGTACAGCATTAATTAAAAGTAGGAGAGCCACTGCTGGGAGAAGAGCATGAGGCCATGGGGGGAAGAACAAGGGTGAAAATGTTAAGATTAGGGAAGTGCTCATCACAACAACAAAACAGGAAAATGTCAGAATAAGGTTTTGATTGTTTTACAGTACTTTTTAAAGACGGGAGGGCATAAATTGTTCAACAAAACCAGGCTCTATATATGCATTAATTAAACCCCAAAAGGACTTACCTTTGGATGAGAGTCGAGCAACTGAAAAGGAATCATCGTAGCTCCCAATTCCCAAATTAAAGCTTGTCGAGTATAGTATGAAGATAAATGTAATATATCTGCAGGGATAAAGAACATAAAACCTTTAAGCAATAGAACAATCCGTGAATGCACTATGAGAGTTCTACTCAAACACTTGTGAGTTATGACTAATTTGCACCGTTTCCCAACCAGAAAAATGAATGCGTAGCTTGGAGTGAGAAATTGGATATGATTTCTTCTCAAAATAGTTGAGGGTTGTGAAATTGGAGCAGAAGAAATGCAGTAAGTATTTAAAGTTGAAGAATTCAAATGCTCTGCACCTCTGAAGTGAATGGCAGTTCTTCTCATTTAATGGCTCTTGGCGAGAGGAAGCTACTGGAACGCATTGTAGTCCCCATGTGAGCTGGCCCGATGCATGGGAGCGGATCGTGATATCAAATCTTTCAAGTGTGATGGCGTGGTTATTTATTATTTTTTCATTATGGCATGGAAAATATGTCATGTTTAAAGTTCCATGATGCTAAAATAATGGAGTAATTACCTCTTGGAAAATCGCTCTTGAAATGGTACCCCTCAACGGTCAAGTTGCGGTAAATGTGATATTTTGAGGGTGACATGTATGTATAATGTGGGTGATGATACACATTTACATGTATAATGAGGGTGACAATTTATATAAAATATATCGTATGGTCGGTTTTACCGCGCGCACGGTACATTCGGTCTTTTAGTTCGCAGATTGATCGCTAGTTTCCATCACAGATCGCCATTTGCACTTCTATCCTTCGCAGGCCGGATGCTCTTTGCTCGCCCCTGAACGCAATCTGCGACTGAATGCAACATCTCAGATTGTGGACTCATGCTTGCATAGACGGCGGCTCTGGCAGATGCATAGGGGTAGTTGGACTCTTTCTCTTTTTTGCACTATTTTCTTTTTTCTCTTTTTCTTATACAGGTTTGGTGAGTTTGGTCACTTGTTGGCTGTAGGTTAGGAGAAATCGAAGTTGTACGTAGTTTTACAGTTATGAGCATACACTAAAAAAATTGAGCATAGCAGACATTTTAAATGAGTCTTTTGATTTTTTTCAATGCTCATTTCGTAATTTATATATACTCATTTGATATGGATGCGATATTCATTTTAAAATGTCATATCCATGCACATTGATCTCAAATGAGTTTTATATTAAACTCAAATGAGTATAACGTCCAAAATGAATGAACACATACAATGAGTTTTTAATTTTGATATTCATTTTGTAAGTTGTGTATACGCATTTGGTGTTGCTTTATGCTCATTTTAAAAGGTTGTACATTTCAAACATATCATACTACAATAGATTCATATATTGAAATTAATTGAAATGTATTATAGGCATAATTTAATACTTTTTAATAAACGAAAAAATAATAAATAGAAAGTGATAAGTGAAGAGTGAAGCAGCGATCACTGATGCTCAAAAGAAGAGGTTTAATGTTATCAAAATTTCATCAATGCTCATTTAAGAGAATCTGATGTTTTCACCAAAATTACAAGTATGCCACCAGCTGTACGGCTGGCAGCGTACAGACAGTTGATATACACTTCCGACAATTGAAGAGAGACATTTACACACTTGAGAACACCGAGACTGCATTTCAATATCTTATTTTAGAATTCATGAACTTTTTAATCCTATTTATGAAAATTCCCTTATTTAATGTTAGGCAACAAATTCAGTAAACATCAAAAGAATTAATGTTAAAAATATTTTTCTCATTGAATTTGATGAAGAAAACCATTCCAGTTATTTTTCATATAAATTTTCTCCACTGTATTTATAAAGGGTACGAAGTATATTGTGAACGTTCACCTTCACCTTCCCCTGTTTCGATCTGCTTTAAGAAGCCGCAAACTGCTGCCCCATATGTCTCTTCCCTTTAGTTTCCGAGCTGCCTGAACTTGAGTCCAGTAACGCCTTGGCACGGTGTACAACCTACGACACCCCTTGCCAAACTTGATGATTCCTATACAGCCCAGTAACTTTTTCCTTTTTTCTCATCCTGCTGCTGGCTTCCTCTCTTTTACATCACTGATTCCCCTTTGGCTCTTGACTTGGTATATGCTACAACTTCAAAGTTGGGAAATTCTCTGGGTTCTGATTATCGTTCCCCTTTCCTTCAGTGGCTATTGAGTTATCGCTGCCTGATAACAATCGGGCAGTTTTGTTTTTCATTTTCTCCAATTATCACTAGGATATACTCTGTATATGCTCTCAACATTTAAGTATCAGTTCTGAAAATGGTCAAACGTCTATCCAAACTTGCAACCTGTTCATTGTTGATGTATGAACTCTCTAATCTTATTATATTCTTCAAATAACCGAATGGGCTTAGCTATAAAAAATGTTTAAGTTGCACAGAGTACTATTTATGCTCTTTCTATAAGACTCTCTACTTATGTTCATTGCACAGAGTACTATACTACTATTTATGCTCTTTCTATAAGACTCTTTTGACTTTTTCATTTTAAACGTGCAACCACTTTTAGCATTTGTTGCAGCACCACAAACATCAGGAATAGTGATGTATAAAATACTCCGTCTTATATAAACCTCTGATTTTATCCAACGGAATTATCCGTCCGTCGGCAACTCCATCGGTAAATTTCCTACACTTTATTTTTCCTTCAGTAAAATACAACAAATTGTTTTTTTCTAACTTCTCACCGCGAATTGAATTTTTTTCGGTATATTTGTTGGTAATTAAGCTCTTTAATAGCCTATGAAAAATAATCCGTCGGTAAATGATATATTGTCTTGTAGTGATAAAGTTCTAGCCTTCTAGGATACACAAAACCGAGCTGGTATTGTCCATATGGGCATGGGGACAATGAAGAAGTTTGACATTTTTCTCATGTTTGGCCATTCTTTGATTTGCTAAGGCATTCTCAGAATCTGTTATTCCTTTTGAGAACTTGTTACAGTGTGACATTCTTTTGTAGGATAATGGTGCAGATCTAAATTATCTAATCAAGATTGGAGTGTTCATAAACTTCAAGATGGAGAATTTATTATTTAAGTATGAAGTCATATTTCCCCAACCAATATTCATTTGAGTTGTCTCTAGATATAGTATTCTATCACATCAAATTTCTTCGTATTTTGCTTTCTCATGTTCTTTTACATGCATCAGTAAGGGTAACTAACTAGAAAAGTTGCGGCAGAGAAATTGATTAAATGAATATCCTATTTTCAATAAGTTTGCCAACATAGAATAACAAACAAGTTTAGTGTGATAAATTTAGGTAAATTAAAATAGTCTAAAATGCAAGTACCAGTTATTACTTATAACAGTTGTCCTTTGCCATGTACCTTGGTCAAAAAAATGACTCATTCTATGGGGTTAAGACTGCTTGAGCGGGTAATATATTTCCGATTACACAAGTGCAAGCATTGTCGTTATTAACATTGGGATTTGTTTTGTTTATTCATAGTAAAGCTAGTATCTAGTCTCCGAGTACTTGGGATTAGTAATTCCCTATTATATTATGTTGGTCTATCTGGCCAGGTGATGAGCATGTATATAGTCCTACACTCCCAAAAGTGATATTTTTTAGCTGATGGTATAAAATCTTATATTGCTTATTCTAGACCTGGTGTATCCTTTCATTACCTATGCCTCTAATGCTATTGTGTTTCCATTCATGTTATAATTATCAACAGGGCAAACCGTTTTATGCCCACTGCGATTTGCTTGCTTCTTCTGACGCATTTCAGTAATGTTAGGTGCTGGTAACAAGGTGAGTTAGATTAGGAAATTTTAAATTTTGCTTGCTTGATACTTCCTTTCTTTTCTTAAAACTGATGTTTCTTATTTGCACAGGGTCAGTTAATGTTAATTTGGAGATTTCAAACACCTTCTAAGAGCAACTGATCAATATCTACTTGATGTCTTCAAATGTCTATGCGATTATGCAATTGCACAGGCCAGTTCATAATTTTCTTTTATCTGAAGAAGGAACAGACTCTCCTGTTATGCATTTTACCTATTTTAGTACACAATCTCTTAAAAGATATTTCAGTTGTGAGTTACCCAAGCCGAGGTGCTGCTAAGAATACGGCCTTTCCACCCCTGCAACACCCAATGGCCATCTTCAGCATACAGAAATTCTTTGTGACCCGCTTCTTTCGCCTTGTCTCTTAACTCTTTCACAATTTGAGGATTTATAGGCAGAGGTTTGAACCCAGCCCTCATAGTGCGTCTGTGCCATTGCTTGAATGCTTCAGGCCTCTCTAACCTTTCCATGCCCTCACATGCTACAATATTTGTTATTCAAGGCCCCAGAAAAGCTTGTTCGAAATTCAACCTTTGACTATCCTGGGGTGGGAATATAGCTTCAAACATATCAAAGAGTGTAGAGTAGAAGAAGAGCGCCTCTCGAAATCGATTGACAAAGAAAGGAGAGCTGTGAGATGCATTAAGCACGGAATGCACAAATATTTGAGGGTTTATGTCCCGGATTAAGTTCAAAACGTTGTCCCTTGGACAGTCCGCACCACATACTGTCTCGTCTAGTAGGCGTCTAAATCGATCAATTGAGTTAACAGCAACCACTTCACCACTCGCGAGCTTCAAGTCACCAACCTTAATTGTCTCCCAATTCGTTACTGTTATGGCATTGTATTCAAATGGTACACCGAAGCACTTGCAATATTTAGCCAAGCGACAACCAGTCTCGACTAGCATTTGCGACGGGCGAAAACCAGGTTGGGGAAGCTCAATCCCTGTTATTCGAAGTTTTGGAGGGCCACCGGGTCTCTGTGAAAGATCCCGAATAAGAGTGGGCCATTGGATACCAAGAAGAATGCCAAAATCTATAATGTGGAGGGATGCACCTCTTGATGCTACTTCGTAAATCATTTTATTCGCAAAGAAGATTACTATCCTCATAAATGGCATAGATGATGACAGGTAGGATTTTTGTAATTCGGAAATTGAGATCTTATTGCGAAATGACGACGGAGAGTAGAATTGTGGTGAGGTTCCAGTTAGCCGTGCCTCAAGACCGTCGGCAAATGCATGTGCCAGCCTTTGGTTTGCGCTACCAGTAGGCGAAGAGTACTGCCTGATCAACTTTAATTGTTCTTCTGCATCCCTGTACTGAGCATCAGCAATAGATTTTGCGCAAATGATCAAAAGAGCCTGGAGATCTACAATTTCACTAGGGGTGGGCGCGGTCCGGTCCGGTCCAATATTTGGCCGAACCCGTACCCGTACCGTTACTATTCAAACGGTTCGGTTCGGTTCGGTTCGGTCTTAGACCTAAACCCGTTCGGTATGGTTTCATTTTGAAACGGGACGGTACCATGCCATACCAATACCAAACAATGCCACTTTTTCCAAGTGTGTAAGAGACAATTAAAGTTTAGTCGTCCTCCAAAAATATACACAATTTATCAATTTTCATACTCATTCCATTCCAAATAGACATGCAAAGTCAATATTTTTTGGTCAACCAATGTTAGAGTTAAATTCTCTTCATTGATAATTAATTCAATTTGTAATAATTAAAATAAACATATTCAGAAACTACATTGAAATTTCTTCAAAGTTGCAAGATCCAAATTAAATATAATTAAGAATTGACATTCTAGTTAAGTGAATAAAATGAATCTGTTTGACAAAAAAAAGTTAATTTTGCAAATCAATTTGGGACGAAGGTAGTATTACATAATTAATAAATTTCAGATAAATTATAGTAGTACAAATTTAAATGATTAAACCATACATCGGTCCGATTTCAGGCTTCCTATGAACTAGCAAAGACGGTGAAAATATAAAGGCACTAGTCAAAATAATGGTATAAATGTAAATTTAAATAATTAAATCATACTTCGGTCCAGTTCGGTCCGGTTTCGGTTCTCATTTTATGAGAACCGGTCATGGCATTGTTTAGAATCGGTACGGTTCGGTTCGGGACAAAAAAATTGAGATCCGTTTCAAACCCCGTTTTATGGTCCGGTACTATATCGGTTCGGTTCGGTACCATGCCGGTTCGGTATTTTTGCCCACCCCTAAATTTCACAACCGACTCCTCGTTTATTTGAACGGCTCTTGCGAACACTTCGCCGTATCTGTTGTTGTTTCCCTGCTCCAGATGGAGAATCATCATTATCATCGGTGCACAACAAAACCTTATCAAACACTTCTGATAAGTCATCCTCCTCCTTATGAGCTGCACTCTGCTTGCTGCTCCTTCCCTCTTCTTCTAACCCACTTTCACCTGGACGGTAATGCTTCCTTCCTCTACACGAATCAGCTGAATGGTCCTCCTTCTCTATACTCACAACACCACCTCTAGTCAATGAGTATAGATCATCGAAATGAATTAGCCTCGGATTACTGGCAGGAAAGGATGTTCTAGCTTCCTCCACACCTCTCTAGAATATCAAAATAGAAGAAGTTTGATCATCCAACAATATATGGGGAACCAATCAGCACTAGCAATGCTATATCAAGAACCGCTTAACCCATAACATTCAAGTATCTACGGAGCAAGTTTTTACTATATATAGAATAATCTTTAACCATATACAACAGGAGTGCGGAGTAATTTTTCCTGGAAATTATTGACAAGAGTGGGAGGTTTACTCCTATGATTTTTACTAGTTCTTTTATTTTTCATTCAGCACTCTACAGTCTACACTGTTATAGAGCCTTACGTTTGTACAAAAAAGCTTCCTTTTTTGACAAAAATATTTGTTTATTTGGTATTCCTCATTTTGCAAAAGAAACATATCGGACCCACCATCTAATGATGGAACAGCGAATTAATATTGTTAGTACAGCATTAATTAAATGCTGGGAGAAGAGCATGTGGAGGGAAGTACAAGAGTAAAAAGTGAGAATTATGCTGTAGGTTTTTAATTTGATCAGGGAAATGTTTATCACAACAACAAAAAAGGAAAATGCTAGAACAAGGTTTTGATTGTTTTACAGTAGTTGTTAAAAACTGGAAGGTATAAATTGTTCATAAAATCTAGGCTCGATAGATGCATTAATTAAACACCAAAAAGAATTACATTTGGATGAGAGTCGAGCAACTCAAAAGGAATCATCCGAGCTCCCAAATTAAAGCTTGCTGAGTCTAGTATGAATATATCTGCAGGGAGAATGAGAGGAATCCCAAATCAGGATAAACAACTAACATAAAAGTTTGAACAAAATCCACTTTTCCTCCGTCACACCATTTTTTTATGTCTTTCACTGTGACTAGTTTTGGTATATGACTATTGTTCTTCGCCTATGTACGATTTTAATTGAAGGAAGAATCACACATGCTCAAAAGAAACAACAACATCCAGAGCATTAATCCCAAAAGAATTTGGGGTCGGCTAACATGAATTGATCAAAGATACTAGAGTTAAAACTCCATAACTTTGAGCAAATTAATCAATAGAAGTATGGAACAATCGTTGAATGCACTATCAGAGTTCTACCAAACACTTATAACTTTGCACCTTTTCCCAACCAGAAAAATGATCGCGTACCTTAGAGTGAGAAATTGGATATGATTTCTTTTCAAATAGTTGAGGGTTGTGAAAGTGGAGCAGAAGAAATGCAGCAAGTATTTGAAGTTGAAGAATTCAAATGCTCTGCACCGACATCTGAAGTTAATGGCAATTCTTCTCATTTAATGGCTTTTGGTGAGGGGAAGTTACGGAACGCATGTAGTCCTCATGTGAGCTGGCCGGCTGCATGGGAGCGGATCCCGATTTGATCTTTTCATTATCTACCGTAAAACTTGGAAAATATGTCACATTTAAAGTTTAATGATGTTAAAACAATGGAGTAAATACCTCTTGGGAAAATCACACTTGAAATGGCATCCCTCAATTGTCAAATTGTGGTAAATATCAGAGCCGGTTGTAGCACGTTCAACATGTTTTATAGAACAGGATCTCCCGATTTATGGGACTCCAATTTTTAAAAAAATTATTAGTACTCCCTCCGTCCAAAAATCGTTGGCCAATGTTGATTTGCGCGTGGATTAATAAAGTAAAAACTGTGTGGTTAAAATTTGCGCAGAGAAGAGAGAATTAACTTTAGCCACATATTCTTAACTTTAAATGGAAATGGCCAACCTTTTTGGGACGGCCAAAAAAGGAAATTTGGCCAACCATTTTGGGACGGAGGGAGTTATACATAGCTATAGGGGGTGTTTGGATCTGATTCTTAAAACTGCTTCTGCTCCTTCAGGGAGTAGAAGCAGAAGTCTGAGTGTTTGAGTGAAAGTGCATAAGTGATTCTGGTGCTCTAATTTACTCTCAGAATCAGTTTTTTCTGAAAACTGATTTTGATTCTGCTTCTGCTTTAAAAAAGAATTAGAAGCAGAATCAGTTCCAAACACTCCGATAATACGGAGTATATATTAATACTAATTAGTAAAATAAAGTTTTTTGTCAATCCTTTTACTCATGTTTTACTAAAATAGATTGAGTGATGAGTTGTGTTGCTTTAAATCAATTACTACGTATTAATTAATTTGTAGAATTTTTTATTACGTTATTTGATGAGTATTCAATACTCCGTAGATTTCAGTATAACTATTTAGGTTGAGATTTTTTTAAATTTGTTATATTAATATGAGCCTCAATTTTATGTTTGGAATGGGGCCTTCAAATTCATTAGACGGCTATGAGAAATATGGCCTTTTTAAGGGTGACATTTAAAATGTGGGTGATGATCACATTTACATGCATCGGGACAATTGAAGGGTAACATTTACACACTTGAGCACACAGAGACTACGTTTCAATCAGGGGCGTAGCCAGGACCGATGTTTACCCTGGGCCGATTATACACTAAAAACATTATATAAAAATTTTGAAAACGGTAGTACTGTGAACATAATGATTAAAATACATTAAAATTCATAGTAATATTTTTAAACAATACATACAATGTTTGAAACTAAAACGTTACCTGAACCCGACCATAGTTACAGAAATCGCTAGGCATGCCACAATCCGCGTTCCCGATCGCGGTACAGTAGCGTGCCGCACGCGTCAGGGTCGCGACCTCGGTACGATGGTCACCGTTGCTATAGCTGGTCTATGTCGCCGTCAATGGTTGCTGACTGGTCGCCGTTGCTGGTCGCAGACTCTGCTTCGCGATTTTAATTCGCCCTATTTTGAAATTTTCTAACTGTTATAGTCCTATTTCGTCCATAAAATACTTAAATTAAACTAAAAATTGTAAAACCAAGTAATAAAATTAACTATGTCCTATGCAATTTGAAGGGTTTAGTTTATTCCATCTTCCTTCAAATTTCATCGAAGTATTTGTCAAAACTTTGAAGTAATAAACTAAAAATTGTAAACACAGGTCGAGAGAAGTAGTTTAATTATCACCGATAACCATGCGTTTAATTGAGTGTTTATTTGAGGGTTTATTCGATCTTCCTTCAAATTTCTATCTAAGTGAAATAGTTTAATCAGTTCTTCCTTACCTCGAGAGAACTAGAGTCTGGTCGTCTGGTCGTCTGGAGAAGCAGGTCAGCAGTCAAAGGAACGAAGCTGTGCAGGGAGAGTGGCGGAGTGGAGGATAGGCGGTTTCCTCCGTCCGGCGAAAAGGCTATGCGAGTGGACGGAGTGGTCTACTGCCCTTGGGGATGCGATGCGTAAAACGTCCGGTTTGGTTCTGCGTAGGCCGGCGTAAAACGTCCGGTTTGGTTCTGCGTAGGCCTGCCGGTGGGTCTGATCTAAACCCGGACCCGATCCGAATCCAACACTTTATTTGAGGGTTTGGATCTAAATTTAGAACCGTTTTTCGGATCCGAATCTGAACCTGTTACATAGAGAAAATAAGTCGGATATAAATTTTTAAGTTCCGGCCCGTTTTGGACCCGACCCGTGATGATATAATTATAGTTATAATTTTTTACATATACACACACAGAGGAACGTTCATGTCAGGTCGGCCTGACGGGCTGCTCCGTGGGGCCGAGCCCGTTTGGGTACCTTCCCGGTGTAATTTTTTGATGAAAATTTTTTAGCATGTTCCTCATCAAGTCTAGTTTGTCCATACCAAATTTCAGCTCAAAATTCGAACGAGAAGGCATTCAAATTATTTTTTGAAGTTGACTGCAGTTTTATATGTATATTTTGACGCAGTCAACTTCAAAAAATGATTTGAATGCCTTCTCGATCGAATTTTGAGCTGCAATTTGGTATGGACAAACTAGACTTGATGAGGAACATGCTAAAAAATTTCATCTAAAAATTCCACCGGGAAGGTGCCCAAACGGGCTCGGCAGGACGGAGGTTCCCGTCAGGCCGGCCTGACGAGAAGAGTACTCTACACACACAATATACATAGAAATATTTAAACATAAAATAAGGAAAATAATCAAATATAAAAAATGTTTTGTAGAATTAGTTAGTAGTTGGCTCACTATAATCAAATTTTCGCAAATGAGTTACTGCTCTAGATTCTCTATGAGTTCACTAATATACATATAACATACTCCCTATATTATTGTATAGTTCATATCATACAGAGTAATGGATAGAAAAACATTTTGCCTATTTATATATGATATCTTTAAACATGAACATCTTTTTGTTGTATATTGCGTAGTACTGAGTATCTATTATATTTGTTTGCATATGTCATTTACCTTTTTTGCGGGTATACCCGGCCCGGATCCGAGATCCGCCGGATCGAAATCTGGAATATTTGTTTAGGACTCGAAGGGTAAACGAGTCCGGATTTGGACCAAAAAAATTTCAACGGATATGAATATGGAATTTATAGTTCCGGCCAATATCCGACCCGTTGACAGGCCTAGTTTTGCGCTTCTTTTCTTTAGCGCTGCACTGGGCGGTTAATTTGCATTGGGCCAATGTTTTTTGCACTTGGCCAATTCTAAATATTGTTTGAAAATTCATACTCCGTATATAATACTCCCTCCGTTCATTTTTATTAGTCATTCTTTCCTTTTTGGGACGTTTTTTTATTTGCCCTCCTTTCCCTTTAAGAAAAGTTTTTGAGAAAATACATTCACTTTTATTACTTTTACTCCACTTACTTTTTTCAAACCACTTTCCATTTCCTACTTTACCATCACTTTACTCTTCTTAATACACTCTCTTTCCTACTTTATCATCACTTTACTCTTTTTAATATACCATTTTTCCTACTTTATCATTTACACTACACATTCTATACTTACCCTACTTGTCACGCCCCGGACCTCCCCGGACACGTCAACAACCCGCCGTACAATACGAATAGTCAACCGCAGTCCAACACATTCAAATTATACAAGGCGTCTTGAATATCATTCACACATATAACATCTATAAACAAACATAATAAGTAATTCAATACGTAGCGGAAAACATAATTTGAAATCAAATGCCACACATGGCTAACATGAGCACGCAGGCTCTAGAGAAACATATCCATGAGCATGTTTATTAATGTTCTACAACAGAGTGGAGGAAGCACGAACCAAGTCTTCTCTCCGGGGAAATCACTCGAGCAACGAGCACAGGAAGCAAGCTCTAGCCTCAACCTGAAATGGTGGTGGGACGCCCCCGAAGGGGGTCAGTACTCTATACGGCTATAAAGTACTGGTGTGACAGGCATCTAATAGATATACAACAAGTATTTCAAACACAAGACCCTCAAATAGGGTGATAGTACATTATGATTGTAACCCTAGGTTACCCCGTTTGAAAATATACTTACTTTATATAAAAGTCAAGTAGTCGGCCCGCGGGCCCATGTTCATTTAGAAATCACCATTCTCATTCCCCGTGACTATAAGCCACGATAACTCATAGAGTCTAACCCTAACACATGACATTGTATTCTAGAGCTCCGCTCTATCACATCACCATACAATTCATGTCACTCGGGTCAATTTTCTTACCTTGCATTCTAGAGCACGGCTCTATCACATCACCATGCACTCCTTAGAGCTCCAACCCAATACATGACATTGTATTCTAGAGCTCCGCTCTATCATATCACCATACAATTCATGTCACTTGGGTCAATTTCCTCACCTTGCACGAAAGTCCAATTCCTAAGCAAACTTATGCCTAGAATTGACATATCGATAAATTACCTTGGGTCATCCTTAAAGACTGACCATAACATAACCTTAGCTTCATACTAAGTCATTATATACACTTGAGGTATATTCAAGTGCATTGCATACAATCCAATCCCTAGGATCAATTCTATCAACAATTTCCAATAATCACTAACTAGTATTTCAAAACTATTAGGATTATTGTTATCATACAAATATTCTCATTTTGTAATTCTCTACATATTTACAATTATGTAGCAACAACTTAAGTATTCAACCTCAATACATAAATATTCATTTATGTATCCACATAATTCATACATGAGTAAAATGCATATTTCACAAAATAGTTCATTTATAACTCATTTAATCACAAAATAGTTCATTTATAATTCATTTAATCTCATATATATTATTCATACAACCTCAAGTCATTTCCAAATTCATCCTTTGGCAAATATATCAATATTTCATCAATATTTAATCATCATAATCAATGAAAAATTATGATTTAGGCATTTAGGTAATCTCATGCTCAACCTACAAGTTGTAAGCAATTAGATGTCGATCCTCACCTCAAATGAGCTTTAAAACCTTCTTTCTCGATCCAATGACCAAAGCCTCGGCCAAGGAAGTTTGAGAACTGGTTCCTTGCTTAGAAATGAGTGTTAAACAGCCTTCTCAAAGTGCTAGCTCAACCTCTAACTATCGATACGAAAACAGCCCTTAGAAAGGGTGTTTTCCGGCGAACTCGTTTCCTAGTTTTTCCATGGTTTTCTCTAGGTTAGTATCTACCCTTTACATGAATAAAATAATCTTATAAGGACATATTATACACTTGGAATAATGTATAATAGTTCCACAACCCGTCCATATCATATGGCAAATGAAAAGGAAGGTTTTGGGTTCAAACTTATTTAGAAAGCTCTGTCCGGTCATCGCCATTTGGGGTGGTTCTCGGTGGAATTTTTTGATGAAATTTTTTGAGCATCTTATTCATCAAGTCTAGTTTACTCATACCAAATTTCAGCTAAAACTTCAATCGGGAAGGCATTCAAATGAATTCTTGAAGATAATTGCGCTTCTAACTGTGCAGTTATGTTCAAGAATTCATTTGAATGCCTTCCCGATTGAAGTTTTAGCTGAAATTTGGTATGAGTAAATTAGACTTAATGAATAAGATGCTCAAAAATTTTCATCAAAAAATTCCACCGGGAACCACCCCAAATGGCGACGGCCGGACAAAGCCTCCTAAATAAGGGCTTATTTGACCTTTTTTTGTTAGTACATGGGCCTGTTAATAATAACATGTTGGAAAAAGTGTGTTAAATTGCATTAAATGGTCATTTTGGGGAAATTTTTTGAGCGGGGTCCACTTCCGATTTGGGTCGGGTCAAAGTGGTTTCGGATTGTCCTTGCTTAGGGCTACAATTCGATATATGGTACGCTCAAAACGGATAACGGGTGAATGAGAAATCGCTTTTCGAAGTTTACCCGTTGGAATGGAGAAAACTAGCAAAAGTTGAGTTTTTGGTATGGTTTTTTCCCACACCGAAAATCACTAGGGATTTGCAACCCTTTATAAGGGAAAACCCCCCCTAAGGAGTTAAGATTCCTAAAGGGAAAGGCTCTCTCACGCGCGCAGGGGGGGGGTGCGGATCAAATCCCGAAACCGAAGAACAAAAAGCGCGACTTGCGTGTGCGGGCGACCTGCACACACGAATGCCGTCCGAAAATCCCATCTTCTAAAGATAACGTCAATTTTTGTTCTTCCGGTACGTTCCTATTTATTTTTGCTCCATGCTAGACTACAACGTTCATGAACGTTGCAGCATAAATTCCCAACGTTCATGGCCCTTCATTTTAGCTGGTTGATCCTTTGCAAAACACACACAAGTCACAAACGTGCTGCACTTCATTTTAGCTCACAAAACTCTCCCAGCCTTCTCTTAAAAATTCCTATTGTGTTCTTGCTTCGTTCACGTTCGTTGGGACTTTCGTTTGAGTGCTCAAACGTTTGTTCGTAGTCATCGTATCCTGGGAAACGATTCTTGCAACGCTCCTAGCACCCCGGGAGGCAACGAATACGTTTTAAGGAAATCGTGCGTAGCACGAGCTTTGGCTTATTCTGCTTCGTCTCATTTCTTGTTTTCGTTTTGTCATTTTATTTAATTAATTTTTATTAATTAATTTTCTTCGTTTTTCGAAACACACCCAACAAACTTAAAACGTATTCGGTGATTGTTCTACTACGGTAAACAATCTTACACTTGTAGTTTGTCACCTTGGTGAACGAACTTGTTTTTGTGTTTTCGAAGAACGTAAGAAACGAAAGAAATGACTTCTCAAGAAAATGAAAATGTTGTTGGGCAGAATGCTTTGAACGGTTTGAACGATAATCACTCTGAAAGCGGAGCTCCGGTGAACAATAGTTCACAACGCGGTGCATCTGCTTTGGTTAACCAAAGGGCTATCCCTATGGTGACCGTGCCGAGCAACTCTGTGGAGAAACCCGAAAAATTTAACGGGTTGAACTTCAAGAGGTGGCAGCAAAAGATGCTCTTTTACCTCACTACTCTCGG